TCAATTTAATGATTTCCATATAATGCTAGTTTGTTCCCATAACTAGTCTTAGTTATTATGCATTTATTTCATAGTTTGCTACTGCCCAGGGCACAATGACCAGGTAAGGGAATTATTTTAACATGTTAGCTGCCACATAATAAATTAATTATAAAAAAAATTAAACATTCAAGAGGTGCGAAGGAGAAATCACAGTGTTCCAAACTCATATGGCACAAAAGAAATTTGGCTTTGAAACAAAATTGGCTGTGATTCACTGGTGTGACACACAGCAATAAAAGTGTTAATACACATAGCTTAGTTAGAAAGTCAGTTAAACTACATAAATTTTAGGTCATTTATATTTTTTGGTGTTCTTAATTGCATGTTTGAGGAAAATAAAAATTATTTTATGCCTGACTATCATTGTTATAAAAAAAAAAAGTAAGGGCTAAGTTTCACCAGGAGCCAACAGCAGAAAAATAAAAGGTCAGACACAAGTACTAAATGTTAACATTTTCCTATGCTGAAAATGCATTTCCAATAGATATTTACATCTTTTCACAAAATAGCTTTTCTTGACTTGTGCTGCCACCTATATACACAATTTTAACTCGCCCCTAACCTTGATGTTCCCACCTGCCCTTTTGTGATTACACATGTGGTATAAATTTGCTGTAGCATGCAACAACCCTTAACCAATAGGTGTGTGTGTGTGGCACACCCTCCTAATGCAGCTCCCTCTATACTGTAGAGTACTATCATTACTTCAAGATTAGGCAAAAGGAAGCACCAGAAGAGGAGAGTATGTGTGGGAAGTAAATAATTCTACGAGACCTCAGATGTGGTCAAATACATCAATCAAAAAAGTTTGACCTCCTGAGTCCAATAATGTAATTAGATCTCAAATTGGGTCAAGAGATGATGGAGCTATGAGCTAAAAGCTTGTACTTGAAAAACTCAGAACTATTGTATGAGCTGCTATGCTACAGCTAAAAATATCAAAATGAATGAGAAATGTAATGGGAGTAAGATGTGACTCCTCCAAGTTGAACCAACCAATGCAGATGCACCATCTCCAAAAAGAGAAGAAGAGCATGGCTTGTTGGGACAGAGCCAAAAGAGAAAATAAGCATCTGAGATGTCCAACCTCGGTCATCCCAAGACACGGAGCAAAAAACTACTGCAGAGTGAGAAATTCCCCATGGGAAAACGAAGGAGAATGAGAAAACTGACTGAGACATGAAAGACATAAGACTCTACACTTATCTACAGATTCTCTGGATGGGTTTCTCATCCATTTTCAGGGTTTTCTTCCCTCATATTTGTGGTTCCCAATAGTGGTTGCAACCATTTGGACCAATATTGCCACTGTTCAATGTTGGCAAGAAATAACAGGACCAAGAGACATTGGAGAATGAGTGAGAAAGTATAACATAGGTTAAGACTCTCTTTTAGAAATCAAATTACTCAACAACTGGCTTCAAATGGAAGGAAAAGGTCCATGAACTAAATGAAACAAGTCTTACTGACCCTGAACATCTAGGATAGTCACTGCCAGTGAAAATGCTGCAGAAGATAAACAAGCCACTGTAGAAAAGAAGTGAATGAGCATCTGTCAAAATCCCACAGGTGAATGGTAGATGACCACAGAAAGAATGTTAAAAAAGGAAAAATAATGAAAAAGAGTACTGTGTAAGACAAGGTAAGAAAACTTAAGCCTAAGAAAAGTGAACTAAAGACAGGGGATCTGTTTACCAGTCAAAGAAAAGTAATATAACACAAAGTCATGTCTAGTCATATGGGGTAATAAAGGAAAGAGAATGAAGCATGCAAGCCCCAAGGTAGTGGTAAAATAATTCCTAATACCTAAAAAACCTCGTCATGAAATCACACATAAAAAAATGCTGAAGTATGATCAAGACAATATGGATATAACATGAGGTAAAGATAGGTGGGAAAAAATTGGTAAAATCTCTTCCATCACAAATGAGAAACACAGGTTGAGGTATGTCAGTGACAAAAGAAGGGGCAGGCTGCATAAAAGACTCCAACACCTGCCACATAAAAGCCTTCACCTCTCCCAACAGATAAAGATAAACCCAATGCCAATGTAGTTGGTAGGCTAGCATGAATAAAGTTGTGTTGTTTAACACCAGACAAAGTGAAAGTTACCAACTCTTGTAAAAAATGTCTTTGTAGATACTTCCATTGTAAAATGCATAAATCTGAAAAGTTCATGAGCTAAAAAAAATATGTTTTTGCACATGATTGCCAAATCAAGAAGTGATGATAATGCTTTACAGTCCAGAAGGAGCCAGCCGCACTAGGAGGGTGTGTCACATTCCTATTGGTGAAGGGTTGTCACATGCTCATTTGTATGCTACAGTGCAGCTATACCACAAGTAATCACATGAGTAGGTGGGAGCATCAAGGCAAGTGGTGAGCAAAAATTGTGCATATAGAGGGCAGCACAAATCGAGAAAAATTATTATGAGATAATGTAAGTTATCATATCATAATTTCTATTTCTTTATGTATATATTTAGTTATTGTTATAAAAGTAACTTAAATAAAAAATTTTTCACAGCATGGTATGTACACAAGCTGCTCAAGAATTAAGTAATTCAATCCAGGTGATTTACAGCTTCGTTACACAGATTTAGTAGCTAAACATGGTTCAAAGAGCAATAAAACAAGAAAATTAAATTAAAACAGATGTAAGCTCGTTAGGATAAACAACTGTGATTTTCTGTTAAAATATGCAGTAATTCCAGAAAGAAAAACAGTGTAATTTAGATTTTTTTTTTGTGTGTCTGGTCAAATGGACTGAACTTATAGTGTTAGGATACAGAAAATAATGGATAAAAAGTAAATAATAAAAAAAAAATTATAAAAAGTTAAAATAAACTAAAAACTTTTCTACAAGTAAGGTATGCAACACAAGTTCG